TGGCAAAATTATTTTTCCACACTGATTTATAGTGTTCCATCCAACTTCCAATCCATAATCTGGAGAGGATGAATTAGGTTAGCTTAAAAAAAGAAAAAAAAGTACTGTATCAAATTCTCTAAACCAAGACATATATCATGAGGGAGAAAATATTAAGAAACCAACTTGAATAAAACAGTTTGTTAATTTTTAATATTGGAAATTTTTATCACATGGTTGATAAAATGCTATAAGAACTCCTAGAACAAACTGGAAAATGTGAGAAATAACAAGAATAAGAGTAATTTGAATATGTCTCTCTCTGGAAAGTGCAAAAAAAGATAAAAGAATAACAATAATTTGAGAAAAGAGGTAAATGTAATTATGAGTTAAATTATGACTACAAATGAGTGATTCTCATGATTTGAGAGAAGATCGAAGATCAGCTTGTTAATGTTCATCAAGGATAAATACACAATCTCTTTTTGTCCTCTCTCTTTTATATACACAGAAATATCCCTGTTTGCATATTAATATACAATCCACCATAGCCGCTAGATGGAGGCAAATGAATGATATAAAATGGTTAAAAGAATGCTCAGTTGAAAAAGTGCTTGAACATCTGTGCTTATTGCATTATTATTCATAATTGTTAAGAAATGGAACCAGGCCAAATGTCCACAAACAGATGAATAGATTGAAAAAGTATGACACACATATTCGATGGAATACTATTCAATCATAAAAACAACAAGATCCTGGCTTTTGATGGAAAGTGGATGACAGTTGAAGATTTACTGCTGAGTAAAACAAGCCAGGTTATGAGAAACATTGTAAGTCTCCACTTAACACATGCTGTCTGTCCACACTCTATGGCAGAAACGGAACGATCAGAGGATATAGAAGCACAGAAAATGATTATGGATACTGGAGACAGTGTGGGAAGAGGACAGGAGAAGGGGAAGAGTATGAGGAAAGAAATTAAGGTGAAAAATAGGGAAGCAAGACCTGTATGGACACGGAAATGGATTATTATCTGTTGTTGATAACGTGTATGGTATCCTCAACTGGACTCCTGTGAAGTGTATTCATGTTGGGTAAATTAACTTTACAAACAAAACAAGCAGTTGGCATAATGACTATGTCGCTGGACTCCCATGTAGTTGAGTGTGGTTAGAGTCCCGGACCTGGTGGCTTAAACTCATGCTAGGCATGTGCGCGTCTGTGTCCAAGATCCTAAGAGGAGAACGGAGGAGAAGGGATTGTGGAGTGGCCATCCCCTCTGGGGTGGGGGTGAGGGTGGGGGTGGTGATTTTGCTCTTTCTGTCTCTCTGTCTCTTTCTGTCTCTTTGGAGAGCGCACATGCCCTATAGCAAAAACCTCTCCAAAAAAAAAAAAAGTTAGCTTTACAAGCTAAGTGATGTATAGTGACTGAATGTATAAAATAAAAGCAAAAAGCAAAAATAAACTGTATTTAAATCTATTTGGAGTAACTGAAGAAAAATTTTAGGAGGATTATAAAACTGACTTTTGAGGGTTTGAAAGAAAGAATTCCAAGTTTATACTAAAGAATGGAAATATTATTTAACAAACTCAGTGGAAAATGTTAAATATGATTAGTATGGGAACACAAATTTAAATGCAATGCTATTTGTTACTTCTTATCAGAAAAGATGTTCAAACTAATAAAAGCTTATGATCTTTCACACCTTTCTTCCATATTATTATTCAGGTTCTCCAATGGGCACATTCATGTATGCTGATAAAAATATAAAATAAATTTAAGGCTGCATGTCAAGAATCTAAAAATATGATAATCTTTAATGCAATAATCTACTTTTTAATTTTTCATCTTTTTTCCATTTTCATATTGTTTTACATTTTTAAAATTTACAGTTAATCATTATACATCTTTACAGCATAGGAAATTGCTTTTGCCAGCATGACCACAGTACATATTAGTCAAGTCAAAGATATTAACATATGTATTACCATCAATAGATTTGGGAACACACTCATACACACACACACACACACACACACACTCATATGTCAGAGGCAAAAAATTTGAAACAATTTAAATGTTCAAAATACAGGAAAGGGTTAAGATATTATAATATATCCAAACAATAGAAAAATTAGAGAAATGTTATGTAAAGAGAGATACAAATATGTCAAAATTTAAAATGCATAAAAGAAATATACAAAAAGCAACAATGACTTCACTCTATCCATTTCATAGCACTGAGTCAATGATGGTGGCAGAACTTGAATATTCAATAGTTTTTTACTAAAATGTTATATAAAGAGAGATACAAATATGATGTCAAAATTTAAAATGCATAAAAGAAATATACAAAAAGCAACAATGACTTCACTCTATCCATTTCATAGCACTGAGTCAATGATGGTGGCAGAACTTGAATATTCAATAGTTTTTTACTACGTTTTTGTGTACAAGTGATCAATAAAAATAGATTAATTTTCTTATAAAAGCTGTCAAATTAATTGCATGTAAAGTTATTTTTTCTTTAATAAAAATTAAATGAAAGACAAGACTTTTCTTATAGCATTTTATAATAGAAATTATGTGGTTAAGTAGTTTTAGAAAAAATAAATACTTTTGAGTGGAATAAGCTTTTACACTTTAAATTACAACCTGAAGTAGATTTAATCATTGTAAAAGTCAAGTTTTCCATTATAAGCTAACTTTTTACGCTTAATGTTTTTGCTGTGTGTAGCTGGGATATTAAATCAGAGAGCAGGTTGCATGCACTAATCAGACCAGAGTAGACAACCATTGCCAGTAGGAGCAGGGAGTCTTACATATTCCCCTCTAAGATCCCCCATTCCTCTTTTGTACTTCGGTGAGTCCCTGCCTATTTTTCAGCAGCACAGGGAGAAGAAAAGAATTCTCTGAGTTAGTCCCAGTCACCTGGTTGCATTAGAGGGTTCCCATCTCTCAGGTAAGGCCTGCCTTGCTGGGCTGTGTAGAAACATGAAGGAGGATCACCGTCCCCGTGGCAGAAGTCGTGCTGAGTTCTGACTGGATACTCCCTGGTTTTTGAAAGGTGGACCCCCACTTTCTGAGGTACCTCTGATATAAAAATAAATTCCATGCCAAGTGACAGGTGCCTTCACTGTCAAAGTTCTGTCAACTCTGGAGCGAAGGCTACCTACAAAAGAGAATCAGGACAAGTTTTGATGCCCATCAACTTACAGGTGAGCAATAATGACAGGCTGGGCTGCAGTGGGAAAAGGACAGTGAATGAGGCTAGTTAAGAGTAGCCAAGCTGTCTACTAAGGTGAATAGGGCAGAAGAAAGCAGCAAATTTCCTGGATCAAAGCTATCCTGGGTCCAGGAATTTGACTAACTTTCTCAGCTCTGACTTTCCCAAGAGTGGAAGTGCAGAGCCCTATTTCAGGCTTACAGAAACTCTGTGCCTTCTAAGACAGAACCTTCCTTCAGCTCTGTCAACATCCTGCATTACTATTCCTAGAACACAAGTGGCTCTGGGAAGTGTAGGCCAGGATGACTTCAGTGCTTGTACCTGCATTTTAGTGAGTTCTCCAGGAAGCAGATGCCAAGATGGAATTAAAAGGGCAAGGATTTAATTAGGGGAAATGTCCATGTGTAAGCATAAGAGAGCTGAGGACGTGGTACTAGTCTCACCCCAAGTGAAGAGAGAGAGAGAGTAGGTTGAGTGTAAGCTCCCTAAGCTGCTGTGTGGTTTAAGGAAGGTTTGTCAAAGTTTTGAGGGAGTTCTTGAGCTAAAGTCAGCCAATGAAGAAGTCCCATGTCTCCAGAACACAGGTCATTGACCATAGCAGCCCACGAGAGGTGTGGTTTTGGGGGACAAAAATGCAGTGGTGGATTCCAGGGATCGGCAGGTGGGTCCTAAGTGTGCTCCTTGTAGGTGGAGGGCCACTAGGTACATTTTCATGGTTGCCACATCTTGAGGCTTAGAAATACAACTGATGCCCTGATTCAGCCCAGACTTTGCTTACTTGTCTCTTCACTCTCTACCCATTTTAATGTGATTTCTGAGTGTGCTGTTCATTACCATTGTGTCAGGCCATCCAAGTCTACCTTAAATTTTGTGGAGAGGAAGTTGTTGGCAGAGAAGGGGGGCTGTGGTTTTTTTTATTACAGAAAATCATTGGCTCCCCAGACAGGTGGGTTCCGTTCCCCAGAACTCTGTCCATGAGTAGAAGGATTGTCAGTAAAACTAAGTTCCTTGCTCCTTATTTCCAAGCGTGAGATTCAGTGTGACAAAAACCTGCAAAGCTAGTAGAAAATTTTAAAATACACTTTGACCTTTCGAGTGCTCACATAGAGCATCTAGCTTCTTTTTTTTGTCTTCATTGAAGGGAAAATCATCTGATAGGGCTCCTAGCCACATAGGTATAGCCTATTAGGAGAAAACGCAAAATAGTCACAAAGTTAACATGTACCTAATGTGTAAAAAAACCCTTGTATTATAAAATGCCCTTTCAAAATAGTATGCAATTTTCATATGATTGAAATGTGAAGTTTGAAACCAATAACAGTTTGAAACCAATAACATATTGACAAGCTAAAGTGTCAGAAATACAATTAGATCCAGCAGGTTGCATGGTGGTTAGGAGCAATGGACTCCCACAGGGCCAACCACAGTTTGCGTCCAGGAGCTCGCAACTTGTTTTCTCAATTTCCTTCTCTCTCTCTCTCTGTCCTTCTCAGATCAAATTAAAAATAAATAAGTAAATATATAAAGTTAAATAAAATAATTCTTAAAAAAAAAGAATTGCCACATTGTAGAAATACAAGACTTTTATTAGGGCTAAGATTTTGGTAGGACACTGAAAACAGAAATTGAATAATTATTCATGTAAATCAAATAGTTTATTTTAGTTCTTATTTAATTTTTTCTGTATCATTACTTTTATTTTTAATGTCCAGAGTTTGTAAGAAAAGGGCCAGTTTCCTTCTAGGCAAAAAAAAAAAAAAATATTGATGAATTCTCAATTGGCTAGTGAGACTAATAGGGGTACTTCTTCTTGTCTAATACGGTTTCTGGGAAGACATCATTCAAGTCCTCAATGGTCATCTGATCAAATGGAATTATGTTCTTCATCTTCTCCAGCTGTTTCTGATATTCTTCAATCCTGGCCTTTGAGAGCGACACAAACTCAGCACAACTTTTCACATCTTCCTTTTCTTCAGTGTACACCTGGACAGTGTATTTACCCTCTGGCACAGAAACTTTCAGGGCATTAGACTTCTTCTCAAAGTCATCCACCAAGCCTGCCTTGGCCACGCTGGCCTTGTAGTATGCCCAGTCAATAGCTGGCGGGTTCTCGGGAAGTGCAGCCAACCTGGAGGTGAAGGTCTCATTCCAGGTTTTCAGGGAGTTAGCAATAGCCTTTTGGTTTTGGGGTATTATTTTCCCAAAAGCTACCCAGTCAATAGTTTTTAGGGAAAGTTTTCGCTCAGTCATCTTTTAATTCTTCACCGACCTCAGCAGTGAACAGTCCACAGCAAGTAACGACTTTTTTTTTTTTTTTCTTGTTACAGGACCTATGCACTCACCAAAGAGGGACAGGGAGAGGGAGAGTTAGAAATCATCCCCCAAGGGGGATGGCTAGGTCACAGTCTGTTGTCCTCCATTCTCCTCTCAGGATTTCGGGCGCATGTACACATGTATCTGGCATGATTTTCAAGTCTCTGGGTCTTGCTTACAATAAAATGTATGTAGATTGAGAGAGTTTAATTAATTTATCTGGGTTAATTTAAAATTTGTATAGCTACTTCCTTAGTATGGACCAGGTATTTTAGCAAGGGTTTAAACTATTAAACTTGAATGTAAGGGAAAAAATGTTGAAGGATGAAAACAGAATTGAATTCTTCTATTTGAAAAGGAGACAAACCATCCATGCAAAACATCCAGGAGATCTGGCAAACATGCACTTGCACGTTTCTTACACAAGACAGAGTATTACACAATTCTTCCATTCACTCACAGACTCATGTCTGTTGGCCACCCATGCTCCCTGAAGAGAGCTTATGGCCCTGGTTTGCATCAGCAGGCATGATAGATGAGTAGGGACATCACCAGAAGGGAGTATTCTGTCTTTGGCTTGGTTTATAGGCAGATGTGAAGGGAAGAACAGTAAACTTGGAAACTATGTTGGAAGAAGTAAAATTTATTTTTAATCTCTGTAAGATCCAAAGAAAGAATAAAAGCTGTAAGTATGATGATGAGATGATTGGACTAATTTGTAAGGTAATTCATCAAAACATGGGAACTGGGAGTGTAGATTTTCAGACGTAGAAGATGCCTAGAAAGGACTGTATTTCCACTTCCTCTTTTGGAAGTTCTTATATAGATCTTGAACTCTGAATCTGCAATTGCAACTGGGAAGGCAGAAGTATAGTCTTGTTTAAACTCTGCTTTGTGATCCAGCTACATTTTGGTATGTGGTTGGAACAGAACCTTCTCAAACCACGTTAAACAAAAATAAATTAACATTTCAGCACATCCATGTAATTAAGGATGTCAAAATTTTAACAGCATCGTGGAACACTTAAATAAACAAACTTCAGAGGGATTTGCCAAATTCTTTTTGCCCATACCACCAATTAATAAAGCTGCATTTAGAGATGAGAGCAACGAAGAAAAAGGTTTGCAAACATTATGCGAATCTCTTTGATTCTTGTATCATCCTGCTACCAAGTTTGTCTTCATATTTATTGGTTTTGTTGACTGCATTTTGCATCAATGTGTTTCTACTTATTTTAAAAGAATTCTCAGGCAGACCTGCAAGGACCACATAGCAATCCAATGATACTCTACTTTCACCTAGGTGAATAGACTCTTGAACTCACAATTAAATATATGCTTATTAGATCAAAGTCAAGAAAGGCACTTCTTTTTGATAGTTAATAGAATGTATTGCCAAATAATTATGTATGGTTGACAGGGGGTAAAAGGTTAATTGTGTATGTCATGGAAGTAAGTATCTCATCAGAATGAGGGGAGGGATTCAGGGTAGAAGAAAGCATGAACAAATTGTGATGTTGGAAATTTCGGTGTGCTTTGGAATGAGCAAGTGATTCATCTGGGATGGAGACCAGAAATCATTAAGAAAATAAAGCAGGAAATAACGTTGGAAAGATAAGTTGTAGGTCACATCATAGGAGCCTGAGAATGACAGGGCAAAGGAACTGGGTTCGATGGTGGATAGTGCAGAGCTATTGAATGTTTTTGAGCAGGTAAGCAGCTTAGTCAGACTTGTGATCAGAAAGATTGACTGAGATGTG